TTGTTTCCTTGGTAACTACCCATTAGGGTACTCCGTACTCCATGTTTCCTAGGTAACTAAGCAGTTGGTCCATAATAAAGCTTAGTGGATGTTCCCCAGTAAATACCGGTTAACTACCCATTAGTTCCTTATTACTTTTCTTTAGTAATTAGTCAAATTTTGTTTACCTTCAGATCTTTGCTGATAATGTCTTCTATTATATTCTTTATTTTATAAATAACACTTCTTAGCAGATTTACTATTATAGCATCCACCTCTAGCAGTGCAATTCTGAAATGTTCTAGCTTTATTTATTTTGGCTGAAACAGGGAAATACATCAAATGACTCCATAGAGATGTTTTAGGGTCTTGCTGTATTTTATTTCAGGATTGCTCCTTACTTTTTTCAAACAATGTCTGACTAGCTGTGCTGCTTTTGCTGACTTCATAACAATAGGTACGGTTGGCTCAGGATGATGGGAAGAGTTAGTTTTTCAATTTCCAAATTTAGCTTTGGTTCCGTTTGACCAGAACAACTTGCTTCATCCCTTACATGTTTCTGATAATCGACAGGCTGGATTGGTAAAGTACACAACAAACCTACTGTGGTGCGCTTATTTGACTAATTAGGTGTTATTGGAAGGACTGGATTTCATTAATAGGTACCAAATAAAAGGGGCTGAAGATATAAATGGATGCAACAGTTTTTAGATGATTATTTCTTAAACCTTATCAGAACCATTGAAATGATAAACTAAGGTAGGTGGTTGTGATGGAATAAACTGTTTTAAGTTCTTAGAGGCATGACTACCTTTACCGGTCTAGCTTTATATCATGATGATTACTTTCTGTGTAGTTACTGGAAGAGAAGAACATCCTTGCGGAGCAGCTGCAGGCAGAAACAGAGCTATTTGCAGAGGCAGAGGAGATGAGAGCTCGGCTGGCATCCAAAAAACAAGAACTGGAGGAGATCCTGCATGACCTGGAGTCCAGGCTGGAGGAGGAAGAGGAGAGGAGTCAAGGACTGCAGAATGAGAAGAAGAAGATGCAGTCCCACATCCAGGTGTGTGTCAAAGAGTATTGGATGTGGGAGGCTGGCTAAATAATGACAATTAAACCAAAAAGTCCTTGATTATGAACATAAACAGTATTTGGTTTAATTGATGTTTTTAGGACCTGGAGGAACAGTTGGATGAAGAGGAGGGTGCAAGGCAGAAACTTCAGCTTGAGAAAGTAACTGCTGAAGCTAAGATGAAGAAGTATGAGGAGGATATTTTACTGTTGGAGGACCAGAACTCCAAATTCCTAAAGGTCAGAAAAAAAGTAATGGTTTAAATATGTACTTAGACTTTTACTGCAAAGCTTTGTTTACGTTAACATGTCCGCTTCATCAGGAGAAGAAGCTGCTTGAAGACAGAATCAACGAAATGACACTGATGTTAGCTGAAGAGGAGGAGAAAGCCAAAAATTTAGGGAAGATAAGGAACAAGCAGGAGATGATGATGGTTGACCTGGAGGGTAAATGACTCAGCTGGATAGCAACGCAGAAATTACACAAATAAAACATTTATTTCCTTATTATTAATCTGTAATGTTTTGATTCATATCCAGAGAGACTGAAAAAGGAGGAGAAAACTCGTCAGGAGCTGGAGAAGGCTAAGAGGAAGCTCGATGGAGAGACGTCTGACTTCCAGGACCAAATAGGCGAGCTGCAGTCACAGATAGAGGAGCTGAAAACTCAGCTGAGCAAGAAGGAGGAGGAACAGCAGATGATGCAAACCAGGTGGGAGAATTAGTGACACATTTAAACAGAAAATAGACCCACAGTTTGCTTTAGCAAATACATTTCAATCAAGCACATTAGATATAAAGAGATAAAGATTTTAATATAGAGTAATAACAGGAAATCACAACAGGAGGAAATCACAATGACATTTTTTTTTATTAAGAAACAAGAAATACTGCTTAAATAAAACCAAACTGTACAAATCAACAGCTTAATGAACCAGAGCGCACCGTCGCCACCCAGTGGAGACTTTATGCCCCAGCATGAGTGTGTTCTCAGCCTACCGTAGTTGTCTTTATTTATCACAAATGTGGACACAAAAAAACAATAGAATAAGATGGCCATTCTCATACAGATTTCAATTTCTGTCATTTAGATGTCAGATTTCAAATTTTACACAAAGTTTTTCACAAAGAAGATAAATCAAACTTAAAAAAGATAAATCAAAGATAAACCAAAAAAATATCTCCCTTCCATGA